GGCCAATCACCAGGGGACTGTGAGTTCTAGTCCCGCCTTATGAGTCACCTTGGGCCAATCACCAGGGCACTGTGAGTTCTAATCCTGCCTTAGTCATGAAAGCCATCTGAGTCACCTTGGCCAATCACCAGGGGACTGTGAGTTCTAGTCCTGCCTTAGGCATGATATCCAGCTGGGTCACCTTAGGCTAGTGTCTCTCACTCAATCTAACTCATCTCAAAGGATGGTTGTTGTAGACATAATAGGAGGGGGAAGGAATGCAGGTAGTCCTCGACTTACAACACCAGTGAGCTCAACATTTCTATTGCTAAGTGAGCCAGTTGTTAAGTGACGTTTGCCCCCATTTCACGACCTTTCTTGCTACAGTTGTTAAATGAATCACTGCAGTTCTTAAGTTGGTAACACGGTTGTTGAGGGAATCTGGCTTCCCCACTGATTTGCTTGCCAGAAGGTCGCAAAAGGTGGTCCCTGGGACACTGCAACTGTCATAAATACGAATCAGTAGCCAAGCGGCCAAATTTTGATCACATGACCATGGTTGTGAGAAAAATGGTCATAAGTCCCTTTTTTCAGTGATGTTGTCACTTCAAACGGTCACTAAATTAACTGTTATAAGTCAAGGACTAGCTGCATTAGTTATGTTCATTGCCTTGAGTTATTTATAATAGTAATAAAGATGGTATATCAATAAATATAAAATTACATTACCCCCGTTAACTCAGCTCTTTGAAAGCAAGGCAGAATGAAGTAAAATTACATAGGAATAGGGGTTCCAGATAACAATAAAAGATGTTACTTCTATTTCTTATAAAAGGGAGAAAAGGTTTATACCTGATTCAGATATCTGACATGCCCAAAATATATTCACAGAGAGAAATAAAAGCACTGAATATCTGGCGGACACAGGTACAGGCAGCAATAACGCCAATAAAACTCACTTGCCACTCCTGATGCAATTCCGTAGAGCAGTCCACCTCCTTCGGATTCAGGCTGGAAGACATGGGAACTTGGAGGAGGGCTTCGCTCTTGACGGATGAAGTTATATAACAAAGTTTTCACTAGTCGGCTGGTGTATGGGAGGCTGGCAAATACAAAAGGGCCAAAGTTTTAAGTGGATTTGGGACTGCACCAGAATGCAGACAAAATCATTCTTTTCCTTTCCTCTATTTTGCAAAACTTATCTAAAACGCGACAGTTTAAAAGTGCTCTTTTAAAAATGAAAACAGGTCATTAAGTGATACGCGTAATGTTCAAATCCCTAATTCAGTGTTTCTTAAGCTTGGTGACTTTAAAATGTGTGGACTTCAACTCCCAGAATTACCCAGCCAGGGGAATTCTGGGAGTTGAAGTCCACACATTTTAAAGTCACCAAGCTGGAGAAACAATGCTCTAATTTGATGCCTGCTTAGACACTCTCAACCCTTCTGAATTTTAAAAAGGCTAATATATTTTAAATGTGTTATCAGAGGCGTTAAAAAAAAAGGTGCTAGACTTTGAAAATAAACAGAAGTTTCCCATGACCTTTTTATATATTCAGAAATCAGTTATATATGACTTGGCATTTATATATTTAGAAAATAAAAATAGTTTACCACTATTTGTTCTGTTACAGGGAGAGGAGTCCAAAATACTCACAAGTACTGAGCAGTGAAGGCTGAATAAATGCACATATCTGTGACAACCTGCTCTTAACCTGGTTCAAGTAAATTCAAAAACTTCTAATGCCTACTCTTTAGAGATTCACAGAAGGAAAAACAATAAATACTTCCCCGCAAACCAAAACTTTAGGCTTAAACAACCTGGTATATTCTAAATATTTAAAATATAGTTCCCAAAAATCTCTTTTTGCCATGGCCATGTTGGCTTCGGTTGATGGAAGCTAACATCTAAAACATCTAGAAAACAATGGGCTTCTAACTTCTGCTATGAAAGTGCTTTGTTTTAATGCTGTAAAAATGCAGAGCCATTCTAATTCACTCCATATCCTAAAATTATGAAGTGGAATGGCATACAATACTTTCATCTCAGCATATTTATTTAACAACCCGTTGTTTAAGTGAGATTAAAAAAAAAATGTTTCTTATTGCCCGGAGAGTCAATCTGTTATCAGCTTGGGAGATCTTTCAGAAGCACAAATTAATCTACATCTAAATAAAAAGATTTGCTTTGGCAGAATAAATGCAAGCGCTGTGCTCGTTAAACTCAAGAATAAAAGCTACCTACCTGTGTTTCCCCCAAAATAAGACACGGTCTCCTATATATATATGTGTGTGTGTGTGTGTGTGTGTGTGTGTGTATGTATGTATATGTATGTGTATATATATATGTGTGTGTGTATGTATGTATGTATATATATGTATGTATGTATGTATGTATGTATGTATG